GGTTGATTCTTATATGTGTCCTGACTGGGATCAAACCCACAACTTTGGCATATGAAACAACCCTCTAACCAATGGAGCTACCTGGCCAGGGCTACACTTTTAATTGTGAAAAAAAGAACTGAAAGAATAATATTTCATGAGATTTGAAAATTACATAAAATGTTTATGTCCACCAATAAAGTTTTGTTGGAACACAGCCACACTAATTTATTTTCATATTGTCTGTGGTTGCTTTCATGCTTCAACAGCAGAGTTGAGTAGATGTAACAGAAATTGTACAGCCTACAAAGCTGAAAATATTTACAACCTGACCCTTTCGTTTGCCAGCCCCTGGTTTATTGTGTGACATTTGGTTCATAATAATTTAAGAAGTAATAGCATTAAAGAAAAATTCCAGAAATAAAAAGATGTATAATTCAACCATCTAACAAAATTTGCTTAATTTTTCATGTTTTCTAGTCTTTGACAAAACCCATATATTTTTATTGAAATCAGGCAAAGACAGTGCACATTCTGCCCCCCATCCCCCGTACATCAGTTCATAAACATTTTCGATGTGCTATGGAGCATTTAAATTTATACATTTTAATGGCATAGCATGGTTCAAGATTACAAACCACACACCATAATTTGTGTAACTACCGCCTCATGTTAAACTTTTATATTCTCTTCATTTTCCTCCTGTTTATTATTGGTTATGACGCAAGGAACATCTCGATACACAGAGCTTCACCCCCCTCCTTTTGATTTCTTTTCTTTTCTTTTTAATATATCTTTATTGATTTCAGAGAGAGGAAAGGAGAGGGGGAGAGTGAGATACAAACATCANCCTAACCACTCTCTCCTCCTCTCTTTACTCCAATAACTTCCTGCTTCTTTTTTTGCTTATCTCTTTGCCTTCTATCATACAAGTGATCTCTCTCATTTGGCTCTTTCTAGTGGTTGCTTAGGTATCAAAAAAGCTCCCTTGCTCTTAGATCTCAGCTTGACCCATCCCTTGGGTGGTTCAACCTTCTGCAGTGCCTTGTGAGAGCTGCTGCTTGCTCTAATTTCTTAACCCTTCCTCTCATCACAAGGTACACTCCACTCCTTTGCTGAGGTTAAAGTCTGCCAGTAACTAAGTAACTGTTGGTAACTAAGTTCAAAGGCTTTTTTCTCAATTTCTATCTTCTCCATGGAGCTCCTGCTCTGAAATTTCCTCCCTACTGTTCTTCAGGCTTTTCTCTTTCTTTTCCTGCAGGTCTCAGGGCTTATCTCTTCCACAGGACTTTCTCTAAGAACTGAAAAACACCCAGCTCTCTCTTTTTTTCTAATGGTTTTATTTATTTATTTAAAAATATATCTTTATTGATTTCAGAGAGAGGAAGGGAGAGGGAGAGAGACAGAAACATCAATGAGAGAGTCATTGATCGGCTGCCTCCTGCAGGACCGACTGGGGATCGAGCCTGCAACCCGGGCATGTGCTCTGACCGGGAATCGAACTGTGATCTCCTGGATCCTAGGCCAATGCTCAACCGCTGAGCCATGCCCGACCACACCCAGCTCTTTTGAGCTCAGTTTAACCCACACATAGCTCCTCCCTTTCACCCCGGTTTGCCCTAATCTAAGTTGTTTTACTCTCCTTTGAATGAATATGAAGTCAAGGGAGAAAAACATAAAAACCTTCAGGCAGACAACATTGAGAGTCTTCTACTTAAAGTTTCGAAATAATCAAACTTGAGATAAAGTCAAGGATCACAGGCTACACTGTTCTAGTGACAGAAGATCTACAGAGTGAGGTCCACAGAGCAGCAGCGTCAGCGGCATCTGGGAACTTGCTAGAAATGCAGACTTGTAGGCTCCAGCCCAGACCTGCTGACTCAGAATCTAGGCATTTAACATGATCTCCAGGTGACTGACATGTACATTAAAGTATGAGAATCACTAGTCTAGCGGTCCAGCGAATGCCTGCCACTAGAGCCTCCATCAAAAAAGTGCTCCAAGCACCACTTGGGAACCTTGAACCAATGAAGTTTACCTCTAGTGGGGCAGAGTTTGGTGTGAGGATGATCTGGCTGCCACAACTAACACCCCTGTGATGAACAGAGCTGATTCCATTGATCTGCTGGCTAGGGGAGTGGCTTCCTTCCCTCATCATTCCAGGTACTGGTTCATTCCTCTAAAGCTGCAAAGGGGTTTGAAAAGGACAATCTTTCCCAAGAGGGGAAGACTATTCTTCAACCAAGAGTATCGGCAAGCTTGCAGACTCTTTCGTAAAGTGGATACATCCTACGGGGGGTAAGAAAAGATTTTCTATAATCTTTTCCAACAAAAAATGGGTATGAACAACCTAAAACAAAAAGACAATAATAATTTATACTCTTCATTCTCTCACTCAATAAATATCAAGCGCCTACCATATGTCAAGCACTATTTTGGTGTTGGGGTTACAGCAGAAAGCAAAACAGACAAAATCCCTGCCTTAATGGAGTTTATATTCTAGGGGATGGAGATGGACAACACCCAAGTACATAATATAGCAGGCAGTGACGGTGCCTTAAGGAAAAACAGGGTGGGGAGCCCGCTATTTAAGATGGGACCTCAGGGAAGGCGTCCCCAAGGTGAAGACATTTGGGAATATATCTGAGTGAAATGAAATCATCCAGATATTTGGGAGAAGAGAATCCCAAGCAGAGGAAATGGCTAATGCAAAGGCCTTGAGGCAGGAACACACTTGGAGTGTCTAAGTAACATCAAAAAGGCCAACAAGCGTCGTTGGAGCAGAAGGATTAAATAAGGAAGAGAGTGGAACCAAATCATGTAGGGTCTTTAAGGAGCCTGGATTTTATGCCAAGTGTGACGACGGAGCCATTTCCAGGGTATTCGGCCTAGAGGAATGATGTAATCTGACTGAGAATTAAAAAGGCTCTCTCTGGCTGCTGTGTGGTGAACAGACTACAAGGGAGGCCCAATAGGAGGCTGCTATAAGGATGTTGGTTGGTTCAGATTTGAGTGGACATGGTGGTGGTGGTGAGAAAAGTCTCAACTTCCCTAATAAAGATAATTTAATAAGTTATTGCTAGACGACTGGAGTGAATTTTAAAAACCTGGATGGGAGACTGGCTTAGATGCAGAGAGCAAAGAGGAGGAATAATAGGGCTTCTTTGAGCTGAACAGTGCTAACAGCATCCCCAGGGAATCCGTGTTATTTAACATTTCATAAACAGTTAGAAAAAGGAATACAGTGAGACATTTCTAGGTACACAAATTATACTCTGCTTTCCACATGTGAAATACCAAGTCAACAGGGAGCTCTTTGGGAACATTTCTATAGCTCTGCGAGGAGGCTGGAAGTGACAGGTGACTTGCCACATAGACAAGTGTAAGCTCATATAGGGGAAGACAATTCAGATGATACCTTTAGGATAATGAACTCTGAACTGCCAGTTGCAACCAAGAAAAGGGATCTAGAAGTCACTTCAAGACACCATCAGCTCTTGCAAAGTCCAAAATGACAGCAAAAGTTCTGTCTGCCCAGAATAAAGACAAAACATCGGCTTCAACAAAAACCTCAAGAAACCCCTCTTGGAGTTCAGCGTGTAGTGCTGGTCACTGGGTGGTAAGAAGAGGAACAGCTAAAGAAAGGCAGCTAAAATGATGAAACGATAAGATTAAAAGGATAAGAGGGGCTTTTTTTTATGGATTAAATGCCCATAAAAGGTGACTATCTGAGACAAGACAAGATGAAAGTCTACAAAAGCATGAAAGGTCCAGAGAACGTAAAAATGGCCCTTTTTATACAATCCCATGATTGTGAAATTAGGGGGCAAAAGAAGCTTGAAAGTGGGGGTAATGTCTATGTAGAAAGAGGCTATGGGAGGGCAACATAAAAGAAGGTCCTTCTTTAGACAGGGGGTCCTCAAGTATTCTCCAATATATGAAAGGCCATGTGGTAACAGTAAACAGTGGTGGGACATCAAGCCCGCCTCAAGTTCCTTGTTGGGTCAGAAACTACTCTGGACTGGATGTGCTTCCTGCCCACCCCCTAATCACTGTGGTGTACAACCACGGAAACTCGGAAAGAGCATGAAAGCAAGGTCAAGCCGTTCCAAGGATTCAAAATGCTAATATTAAATCTCATTCTGAGTCAAAACTGGACCGAGAATAAATTCAAGAATGAAAGATTTATAATACAGTAATAAGAGAAGTTAAGTCTGTTTTGGGGCGTAGTCTTAATCTTTGTGATTCGTGCCTTGGAGATACTATGTTCTCGCGAGAAACGTTACTTGGCAGTCTGAATCGGATGAACAAAATAAGAACATTTCCTAAATATTGTTTGTCAGCATCTGGTTCTCATAGCCAGAAAATGGCAGTTACTGTCTGAAACTGGGATTAGATGATTCGAATTTCACTCACAGCGCAAGTCCTTCAATCGTGTTCAGTTAACGGGAGACTCTCTTGAACCAACCGTTACTCACGGGTTGAACAGTTACCAACCCCGGGCTATCGATCCTTATTGATCTTCCTTCACAGATTTCAAACAAACAAACAAACAAACAAAACCCCAGCCGACCAACCAACCAACAAAAAACACGGGTCCAAAGGCAAAGCGGTGGGTAACAACAAGAGGTGTCGTTGAGTTGGGAGATGTTAAAAATGGGCCTCATGCAACACATGGGCCCTTACTTTTAGGTCAAGATTTACGTATATAATACATATGCTCTCTTTCCAAACATATTAGATGCAAGAACCTCATTCCCCCCAACCGCTCTCAAAGGAAACAGTACCCTCTCCTCCTTCCCGTAGGTCTTTTACCTGCTTCTTCCCCTCTGTGGGGTGAGGAACTTTCAGCTCCGCCTCCCCGCTGTCCAAGCACCGCCCTCCCGGTCCACCTGTGCGCCCAGCCCCTGACGTTACCGTTGGGCTTCAGCGGCCTGCAGGATTCCGGCTCCTGATTGGTTCGTCCGACCACGGCCTGGCAGCCCACCAATGGCAGCGGCGCTGAGTGGGGGGGTGCCCACATCCAAGATGGCGCCCCCAGGAGCCCGGAGCCGTTGACCGGCGGCAGGGAAGCGGCCTGGGTTGGCCCTCCGATTGCGGGATCCTGGGGGTATCTCGCCGGGTACCCCCCTGGCCCGCCTAGAAGGCCTTCCCTGGGCCAGTGCAATGGCTGCCGAGAATAGCAAGCAATTTTGGAAGAGGAGCGCCAAGCTGCCGGGGAGGTGAGCCCAGGACGCTTGAGTGGACGAGGGGATTGGACAAACCCTTCCAGATCCCAAGCCCTAAATCCCGCGGGCCCCGGGCGCTGCCGACCCCGGGAGGCTATTTTGGGCGACCTGGGCTGGGGGAGCTGGAGCTGCTCGGCGGTGGCAGGGCAGCTGTCAGGCAGACGAGCAGGCAGCGAGCTTTGGGGACGGCTGGTGTGGAAGCCGACCGGGGTCTGCGGGCGGAGGGCGCAGGAGGGGCTGCCCTCAGCGGGAGGTGGCCGGAGTCCGGGCGTGAGGGACAGTGGAGCTGCGTGAGTAGCCAGTGTCCATGCTGGGTTGGGAGGGCCATCCCCAGAGCTGCTGCTCACTTTAAACAGAACTCGCTCTTGGGGGTCTCCGCCACGCACAGGTGGTTGTTGGCACGAGGACGGCCCCTTCCCTCACTCCCCCAGCTCTGCACGCACGAATTTTTTTTCTGGACTCGTACAAGGTTCTGCTGGGAGCTTGGGACCGCCTTGGGGGGTGGGGGTGGAGGTGGGGGCGGCAGAAGTCAGGAAAATTCTCAAGCTTGACCTTATTTCATCTTGAGTTGGCCCTTTCCCATTAGGAATTATCGCAGGGTGACTCAAGAATCGAGATATCGAGGTTATTTCTTTCGCATTTTCTAAGGATTTGTGCAACCCCAAGTGACTCCTTAACCCGCATGCATTGTGATGTTCTTTTTGTGCAGAATTTTTTTTCATGAACTACATTTTTTCATTCTTCAGTTGTTTAGTTGGAGAGCAGACCTTCCAGGCTGCTCCCTTCCCCCTTCCCTTTTTGGTGTTTGTTGTAACGCTTAGCAATTGTACATCCATCCATCTGCTGTTGGTTTACAGTTTCAATTTGTTTGGGGCAGAATCCTGAGAAGTATAAGGACGCGAGTATATGTTTCAGTTGTGAATTTTAGATGTTGCCAGCTACAGTTCACTTGGTGATGAAATTCATGTTTGGTTGTGCCCCATATGCTACCTTTCCACATTGACTCTGGGATAATCCTTTGAACTGTGGCTTTTTTTTTTTTTTTTTTT